TGCCTGAGGGATGGGATGTCATCCAGAGGGAGCTGCACAAGGTTGAAGAATGGGGCTGTGTGAACCTCATGAGGTTCAACAAGGCCAAGTGCAGGGTCCTGCACCTGGGTCGGGGCAAGCCCTGGTATCAGTACAGGCTGGGGGATGAAGGGATTGAGAGTAGCCCTGCTGAGAAGGACTTGGAGGTACTGGTGGATAAAAAGCTGGACATGAGCCAGCAATGTACGCTTGCAGCCCAGAAGGCCAACCATATCCTGGGCTGCATCCAAAGCAGGGTGGCCAGCAGGTCGAGGGAGGGGATTCTGCCCCTCTGCTCTGCTCTGGTGAGACCCCACCTGGAGTCCTGCGTCCAGCTCTGGAGCCCTCAGCACAGGAAAGACATGGACCTGTTGGAGAGGGTCCAGAGGACGGCCACCAAAATGATCAGGGCAATGGAACACCTCTCCTGTGAGGTCAGGCTGAGAGACTTGTGGTGGTTCATCCTGGAGAAGAGAAGGCTCCAGGGAGACCTTATTGCAGCCTTCCAGTACTTAAAGGGGGTTTATAGGAAAGATGGGGACAGACTTTTTAGCAGGGCCTGTTGTGACAGGACGAGGACTAATGGTTTTAAACTAAGAGAGGGCAGATTTAGACTAGATCGAAGGAAGAAATTTTTGACAGGGTGGTGAAACACTGGAACAGGTTGCCCAGTGGCCCATAGTCAAACTGATGGTGTTGAAAAATAGAAGATTTTACTTTTCAGTCACTTTATTACAGCCATATTGCATATTTGGCAAGTGTTGTCATATAAATGATGATATTCACAGTTAAAGCTCCCTTTCTTCTTTTTCTTCTAATGTACTGTTTGGTTCTTCTTCCATCTTGTAGGCAACTGATCTTGCTTCTAGATCTGTACAGTGCCAGAGACATCTATGACTATTTGCGACCTATCGCTTTTAGCCTCTGTGCAGACAAGGTGTCTTCCGTCCGTTGGATTTCTTACAAGCTGGTAAAGCAATCTAAGTAAATTCAGGATTTCAGACTTCTGAGGGTTGATAGTCAGAAGTAACTCTCGCCCACCCCCCTTCTCATTTCTTTAAGGTTAGTGAAATGGTAAAAAAGCTGTACATGGCTTCAACATCAACCTTCGTGGTAGACCTCATGAACGAACTTGTTGAAAAGTTCTGTAGATGCCGCAAATGGTCTGGCCGGCAAACTTTCGTCTTTATTTGCCAGGTGAAATCTCCTTTTGTTCATCTTTCTTTATTTTGGGGAGTGGTGGTGGTAAGAATTAAGGGGGAATAGCAACTGGAACTCTTCAGCTCTCTGACACTATTTTCATGAATATTTGAGAACTTTGTTTCCAGGTGAACGGGTTTCATGGCTGCTTTGTTCAGTGTTGCTGCAGAGATGAGTTTGCATGCATCTTTAGTTTAGGATATTAACATCAGGCTGTCAGATCTGATGTTGAATATAAAACAAAAACATCGCAAAATAATCCCTGAGTTGGGAAGCTGCTTTGTTACTCAGCACGAAGTGAGATTTTTATAATACGCTGCAGCAGTCTGTTACTTTTTTGGGTTACCCTCCAGAAATCGAGTGCTAGGAGTTGCTGATACCTCCTTAGCCAGCTAGTGCAGCTTGGTCAAATACAATGTATTCTCAGCAAAATAAGCAGAAGAGTTGAAACTAGCTGGGGTCCCAAGGGAATGATCAAATTTGGAGGCTGTAGCAGAGGTGCAGACTGGGACCAACATGACTGCTGACCAGATGGGATGGTTCTTTTGAAATATTTGGAGAAATGTGACCTTTGAGCTTATTTAGAGAAACATGTTTGGGTACAGTGGCTGTTTCCTGAGGTGGACCATTCTTATCTTGATATAGTACCTAGTTAAAACAAAGACTAAATCAATCTTAAAAAGGATTTGGAAGGTCATTCACTCTTCTTCTCTGTTTTCAAATGGTACAGTGCTTAAAAAAAGCCAATAAAAATAAAGAAGTTGCCAGACTTCATACAAAATAGTGGGCTTTTAACTGAGCCTGACTTTCCTCAACCCTAACTTTGTGGATGCTACCTACTGTATTCATGCTATGAAGGTAGTGAGATGTCAGCTCTGATAATGTGTTGGGATTTTATCTTCACTGTGCTGAAATCTAATGAAATTGCTTCTGTCTTGTTGCCAGACTATCAGTGAAGATGACTGCCTGCCCATGGACCAGTTTGCTGTGCATCTGTTGCCACACTTATTACACTTGGCATCTGACAGGGTTCCAAATGTTCGAGTCCTGCTTGCAAAAACGCTAAAGCAAACCCTTTTAGAGAAAGGTTAGTGATCAGAAGGAGTTGCAATGGGCTGACAGTGTATCTTTCTGTCCCTCCACTTTCCTACAGTCATCTGGGAAAGAAGAAACCGGATCAGACTTGGGTCACTCTTGCTTTTACAGTCTCCTTGGTGTCGAATATTACCTTCACTGAGATAAAACCATGAACTTTGTTGTGATATCGAGCCACTCTCGTGTAATGCTGGGGAAATAACAGGTCTTGTTCATATGCCATCCTGTTCTTTTGGTACCATTTTCCCTGAATGAGCTAGTTTGTAGAGGTGTCATCAGGGCACAGAAAGCACAAATGAACAGCTAGCAACTCTGAAGTTGTTGAGCAGTGCCTTTTATTGGGTTACAAAAAAAATTCTGTTTATATTCTGTGTAATAAGGATAAAAAAGAAAAATCCTTCCATACAAATCCACCATTTGTTTTCTTACTGGGGAGAGAGCTGTTTGTTTTTTGTATTTTATGGTAGCAGTGGGAAGAAAGTTTCTCTGGAGTCTCTTCAGGGAAATAAGACATGCAACTTTCAAATTGCAGACTGCTTAGGAAAGCATCCCCAGTGCATAGCAGATGCCAGAAGAGTCAGCAGTGCTCAGATTGCAAAGCAACTGTAAAGGCAAATAGCAAAAATGCTATTTTGTAAAGCAGCAGAGTGTCCACGCTTGGAATACCTCATGCAGTTCTGGTCGCTTTCTTCCTCAAAACCATACACTGGCTTGAGGACTGCTGTTTCTAGCACAGAAAGTGTGAAGAAAAAGGCAACTGGACAACACAAAGGATGCCAACGCTGTGAGAACTAGACTATTGCTAGGTGCCTTTTGTGTGCTGGAGACTCTGCATAAGCATATGTATACAGTTCAGATGGGTCAGCTGATGCGCAGTAATTTATCCTCTGTCAACTGTGTCAAGGTTGTCGCTGTTTTTCCTGTTACCATGTAGTATTGGTAATTTTGTTGTTGCTGTCGTTATTTTTGTGTTCCCCACCTGGATGGTACACCTCCATTCTGCATTGCCACTACGTAAGCTTACAATACATGTAGTCCCTGCCTCAAAGATGTTGTGTGTATGATTAGGGATGGTGGATATATTATGGAGGGCATATTTAAAAGAATATGTTCAGAAGTTTTTTAAACCTCAGATCTAAATTGCCCTTCCTATGAGCTTTTACGCAACCTGTGTAGTTCATGAAAACTGTCAGATGTTAGAACTTCTTCCACTCTTATTTCATGTTACATTGTTTGATAATTGTTTGGCAAGCCTGACAGTGAAATGGAGTGGCATGGCCATGGGTTTGTGATACCTTCCCTCCATCACAAATAGAAGCACATTCCTTTTGAGTCTCTTGCAAGTGTTTTCTTCCTCTTTGGTCATGGAGTCTGTCACACTTAACTTTTATACTGAAGGACAGTAGAAATCCTGTACTCTAACAGCACTGTTTAGAGCAACTGTGCTCTGAAACATGGAATGATTTTTAAATTTTTTTAAGGTGAATTCATTGGTATATTCAGAAGTATATTGTGTGCCTGCTCAGATATTCCAGTTTGACTATATGTGTGCACTGTCATCTTAGATTTTGAACCTCATGATAGTATGCTGAGGTTTGCATTGAAGTATCTGCTGTCTTTTCCTCCGATAAGTCTTGTGCATTTTCTCTTACAGAATATTTTCTAAATTCTGCCAACTCTCATCAAGAAGCTGTGGAACAAACAATTATGGCACTTCAAATGGATGATGACAGTGATGTCAAATATTTTGCAAGCATACACCCTGCCAGTACCAAAATTGCAGATGATGCCATGAGCACTGCTTCATCAACTTATTAAAAAGTTCTGAATGTTGCTATAATTAAAAAAAATTTAAACAAACTATCCTCAAGTGCTTCTGAAATGGTTGATCTAGGACAACCTCTTTGGAAGGAGAGATTTCTTGCCAGACTTAACAGGTGGATGTTACCTAAACCTGATACCAGGGATTTTAAGTCAAGAAAAAGTAAACATACCTGTGTCAGCTTGACTTTAGAAAAACACTGCTCAGAGGATTATTTTTGCCACCGAAGCCTTAAATCTTCTGTCTTCCTGAACGAATGAAACTTGAATTGGCAGATCATTTTCATTGTAGAAGGGATATGATTTCCAGAGACCTGCATTGTTTCTCCTGAGGAGTTAACTTAGCAAATATTTTCTGTAGCAACTGATAGATGAAATGGCCAGAAAGGCAAATTTATACCGGGATGTAAGACCTCCAGTATTAGCGGTAAAAGTTTTTATCATTCACGGACTTGATTTGTGTGCAGCTGGGCACACCCTTAAGTGGGAATAGCTTTGATGTTTGTAAATGGGGCAAAGTAGAAATTCGGATTTCTCTTAAGGGCTCAGTGCTAACACTAAACTAGAATTTGATTTTAATCTTTAAATGCAGCATATTGCTGTACCCATTAGCAGAAAACTTTGCTGAGTACCTGTGTCCTAATTATTTTCATGCTGGTCATGACCTAAAGGAAATTTATTAGCACATGTACTTTAAGTCAGGTATTTTTAACTTTATCATGATCGGCTCTTGAGGTGCAACTTTTTTCTTCATATACTGTACATATCTGTGAGCCTCCTTGGAGTGCTGCAGTCTTTAATCATGTTGTTTAAAGCTGTTGTGATACAAGTTGTTCTCTACTTGTCCAAATAAAATTTATTAATAAGATTGAAAGCAATCTTGTGACCTTTTTAAGACATTAAAAGAATAAATGTGAAATTTAAGTGGCCTTTTTTTTCCCCAGTTCTTTACACTTTAACGGCTATTGCAGGGGGAAGGGCTTTGCTTAATGACTGTGAAGAATTTTGCATTTTGAGATGGAATATAGTACAGCACAGATGTACTTTGGCCATGTAATTGAAGTTTTGTTAGATTATCTTTCAGGCACCCCTGTTGTGCTTGGGAACCTGTCACTCCAGCGTGAAATGGCATCTTTGCTGAAGTGAGTCTGAATACCCACTTCAGTCCAGATTTACAGGAAACTGAGCTCAAACTGCCCTTAATCAGCCTTCAGTCCATTGTCTGCTTTCATTTCCTCCCATTTAAAATGACTGATACGGTATCGCCTTCTGTGTCTTCCAGGGGCAACCTACTTAAATCACCCTTCCTTCAGCCTGCTGAGCCTGAAGTGTGGGAAGCTGATTTTCCTGAGGGAGTAGAAATGGATATGGCAGCTTATCTTTGATGTATTTTATCAGAACATCTTCATTTATCAGTCAGGTGCTTGGTACACTGGCAGTTCAGCCTCAGGCAGGTGTCCCTCTCCCATTTTCTTGGGAAAACAGTTTCTTCTGCAGTTTCTTCTCTAGTAAACAGAAAGTTGCTATTTAGTCCCCAAAGGCTTGCTTTTCTATTCCTGAGCATGGTCATGGGGGTGGTTAAGATACAGAGTCTTCTCTCTATGCCTTGAAGCTTGGTGGATTTGGGTTTTTTGGGGGTAGTTTGACCCCTCCACCGTGTGGTTGGGGTTTGTGGTTTGTTTTGGTTTTAGGTTTTCCTTTCCTTGTCCTTTCTTCTTTTCAAAATCCGCTTAAAATTTGAAAAGGCAACTATATGCCCAGGTCAGAAGTTCCTCAGTATAGGTAATGCTCTCCTCCGATTTCTGTTCCTTGTGTTCTTCAATAATTGTTCAGAAATCACTTGCAAAACCCTAGAAGATCGGGCAGGGTGACAGCAGATTGTCAGAAAGCAGTGACCTCTTCCGGCAGGAGGATTTCTGAACTCTCCTTGCTGCCATACAGAGAACAACTAAAAGCAACTAGTCCTCTCCCTGGCCATATGATTCCCAATTTAGAAACGGGCATTGAAGTCCAGTTGGTTTCTGCATTTTGTTCAGGGTACGTAAATCCCTTTGTCTGTTTTTTGCCCTCAGTATAATGCCAGCTGAATTTAGTTGGGTCATGTGTGTGATTTCTGAGGTGAATGGGATCAGCTCTTTGTTCAGACCAGAGCATGCCTGACGTCACCTTCTAACTGTGAATGCAGTGCAGTATTCACTGGAGGAGTACTGGGATGTAAAAGAAGTCCTAGTGTTTGGAGTCCAGAATGAACGTGTAGCAACCTAATTCCGTTACTATACTAATGGACTGTTCCACTAGTCCAGTAAAATGAAGCATTATATCTGATCCCTTCAGGTATTTTCTAGTTACTGAAGCATAAGACACCTTTAAGCTGAAAAATGGGACAGATGTTCCAGATGCTTTATTTCTCTCTGTTCTGTATTTCTTCAATACTGGTACAGGCCTGTGAATTTGCGGGGGCAGGTTTGAGGCTTTTCCTGAGGAAGACAGAGTGTTTTCAGCTGCAGAGTGCCTGAATTCACCTGACGTGTAACAAATGAAGATCCTCTTCAGGGAAGAGGAGAAATAGCTGTCTTTCTCCTATTTTCCTTCACCCAGCATGTTACGGATCTGTCTTCCTCTTTTTCTGCTTCATTTGGTGGTTCCCAAGAAGTGAAAGGGAAGGATGGACTTGCTTTATTCTCAGCATTACCCAAGAGCGTTTGATCCACAGCCTGAGGGATGTGGTCTCTGTTGCTTAACTCCTATAGGGAATTTTCTCATGCCGGCGATGTTAGTAATTCAAGATTCAACTTGTCCCTAAGGATATGGGGCTTGGGGAAATGTGCATCTCAGTTCCGAGTGGTGGAAAAACGGAGCTGTTTTTTTCTGTGGGGCAGTGTCTGGGAATGCTGCCAGAGATCCTGGCGAATTCCCTCGTGTTGTCTTTTCCTGAAGTAAGAGTCAAGTTTTGTATCTCAATTAATTTCTCTTCTGGTCAGGATTTCTTGAACAGAAAGTGAGGTGGCTCCTGAATCATCACGTGTTGGTCCACAGTTTCCCAAAAGCGGTATCATAGCTCTACCCCCGCTTTCTTGGTAGAACACAAACCAGTCCTTCACAAGTAATTTTCATTGCTTTCCATTTAATCCTTTGGCTCACTCATCCTGGAGCTTCTTCATGGGAAATCCCTTTCTCCTCCCCGCCCGCTGTGTCCTGGTTTACAGCACTGTCTGCCTTTCTCCTGTTTGCTGTTTTTCACAGCAGGTTCTTTGTCCTTGGTTGTTCCTCCCCAGAGACCTGTCAGGATTTGGTAGGGCCGTTTCCGCACCACGCTTTCTTGCAGATTTCACGCCAATAAAACCAAGACGTGACCGATGCTTGGAAACCAGTTTTTGCTGTTTTGAACATCCCAGATAACTGTTGCACAAATTCCTGGCTGTGTGGATGAGCTCCTGTGCTCATTAGGACTGCAGAACAGCAGGCTAGTTTCAGCCCAGATGAAATAAGTATTTGCATGGGCTTGGCAACCCTCCTGTGCTGGTGTAGGTCTGGCTGTGAAGGTTTTCATGTTCAGGCAATGGATCATGGCCCCTCAGTTACTTGTTACGTACTTGTTAGTGCTTGCCTCCTTTTCTCCACACTGTCAGCGGTACGGCTTTGGAGATGTCTGATTTGAGTTGGTAGTGGATGGGCAGAGAGGGGAGAACAGTGACGTCTGCCCTGTGGCTCAGGCATGCTCCTGCCACGCTTTGATAGGGTTCCTTCCCATCGGCAAGGTGTCCTTTTGTTCCCTTGTCCTTTGGTGAGGAAATTTGCGTGCAGTGCTCGTGTTTTCTGACCTGATTTCAGCCTGGGGACCTCTCTGCCTCTGGAAGATGGGAAGAGGAGTCTGAGACAGGCGGATGGACAAAATCTGGTTCTGTATTCTACTTGTTCTCCCATGTCAGTTCTCCCTTCTCTGATACTAATGGGAAAGGCTCGTCTTCCTATCTGTGCTGGCATTCAGACAACATGGAAAGTACATTTAAACTGATTAATCTTTTCTTTACATGCAGAGTCAGGACATACTGATAGACTGCCTTAAAAATGTAAGACTATGACAGGAAAGCTCATCTAAAATGTGCATGGTCTCCCGCCCCACCCCCAAGTGCTTTCAGACTCTACTTTTTAGTTTTACTTGACTTTTACTTTACTTTCTACTTAGATCAGAAAAAATATTACTGTTGGCAGAGATGTCATACCCCTGTCTACCTCAAGGCCCCGCACTGCGATGAAACAAGCAGCGGCTTTCACTACCAGGGTGAAGTTCCATGTAAGGGAGGGTGCAGCAGCAGGAGCCCACTGGGACTTCCAGGCAGACCTCTTGCTCATCAGCAAATGCCTTTCCTTGGTGCAGGAATCTCGGATGCAGTATTCCTATTGGTCAAATCAAAGTGCTCAGAGCACTGACTCCCCCAGTCACCTGCAGGACTGTAGCTGAGCAAGGCTGTGCTGCTGGCTCCCATCCCCCCTCCGAAGGGGAACTTTTGGCTGTGGGCGAGGGGCTAGTGCTGCGGTTCTTCTCCAGGGTCAGGGAGCCCTGCAGGGAAGAAGGATTTGGGAAGGGGAAGGCCTGTGCTGACAAGCCCCAGTTCACATTGGGTTGGTCTCTCTCCAGTGGCCTCGGTGTGCCCTTGCTCTGCAGGATGGAGCCGCCTGACAGTGGAGGCTGTGGAGGAGCATCCTAGGGAGGAGTCAGCTGGTAAGTCAAAACGACTAGAGGACCAGCATTGGAAGTTTCAGGATGCAGGGACCTTTGGTCTTAGCCTTCTTCCTGATGTCTTCCCCCCTCTATCCCTCCCCAGGCCCCCCTTTTGGATATGGTGAGTTGAAGCTGTAGAAGGGCTGTCAGCTACTGTTTTGGCTGTCGTGTAGTCAGGGGGTACGGCCTGGTCAGGTCAAGGAGCATGCCAGTGGGCAGCACGGGCTGCTCTTGCTGCCCTGAGCCCTCACTGCGCTTCACGGAGAGCTCTTGTGTTCTGCGGTTCGGATGGGGAATTCTTCCGGTGGCTGGGTTAGAATGATGCACTTTGCAGCCTGACCCTTTGGTGGGCCGCCTGGCTCGCGTTGTTAAGATAGACAGCACCACAAGAAACTCCAGACAGAACATGGTAGCAGCCCGTTGTGTCCGAGAGGATCAGCAGTGAAAGCGCCAGCACCGAGCTGGAGGCACAGGGAGCCTCGGGGGTCAGCTCTGACAGGCGTCGCTTTGGGTGATGGGACAGAGGAGCCGCCCGGGGCTTGGCCCGAGGCTGTGCTACTGTGGCTGCGCCTCGTCTCCCTGGGTCAGGAAGGACTGACAGCTGTTCTCTGGTACAGAGCACGATGCCGCTGGCTTCTGCTGTCGAAGTGCGTTATAAAGAAGACTGTAGAGACCTTGTGCTGTTGGATATAAGCCATATTTGGTCTGGATGAGGCATTTTTTCCTCTGCAGATGAAGCACTATGAGACAAGGTGCATGCTGAGAAATGAAAACCTTGACAAATTAAGCTTGGTCAAACCTTTTTGGCAGAGATTCAGGTTGAAGCTTTTAAAATTTTTTTTAATTGAGAGAAAATAGTCTTACATGGTCAGGTGTAAAATACTTGGTTTCAGTACATTGATTTTAAAAATTAGACTTAGCTCATTAATCTTGAGGGGCCACAGGGGTAAAAATGAAGCCCCCAGTGCTAGTATTGGAACTAGTGAAGGGAGGCGGCAGCTTCCTGTATTGTGGTCCTTCATCTTCGCCATAAAGGATGATGGATTTCTGGAAGGCCATATGGTTCCTTGTGGGACGGTGCTACAGAAGAGAGCTTTCAGAGCACCGCCCGAGGAAGCGCTTCAGAACTGCACCAGGCCTGGCGGCTTCCGCTTCCCTGGGAATGAAGCGGAGCCAGCGCTG